GACACCCTCTCCCTGCGGATCAGCCCGGTTAGCCCGGCAGACAGCGGGGTCTACAAGGCAGAGTTTGTGAACATATCACAGTCTGTTACCACCACTCTGTGCTTCCGCGTGTCGGTGTGGGGTGAGTAGCCACATCCCCATCGCCCCATCTCCCTGTCCCCCCGTCCCTTCTCACTTGCTCCGTCCCTGCAGAGCCCCTCCGCCAGCCACTCCTGGAGACGCTCATCCTGCACCAGGAGCAGGGACGGTGCAACCTCTCGCTGCTCTGCACCGTGCCCAGTGCCAGCAACGTCTCCTACAGCTGGTCCTGCACTGGGGGTCCCACGGGAGCCCTGGAGCAGCATCCCTGGCTGCAGCTGCAGGTGCATGGGGACTCCGACCCCACCGTATGCCACTGCAACGCCAGCAACCCGGTGAGCTGGGCCACGGCCAGCACCGACGTCACAGCAGTCTGCCGCGCTGCCACCGCAGGTAATTTGCCCTCCGTGCCATAAAAGCAGGATTTAGGGGGTGCACAAGCCGCACCACTTCCAGTCCTCTCTCGGAGTCCTTCTTGGGCCGGTGATCCTGCGGAGGATGTCATGCTGATGCCAACATGTGCCCAGCTTCCCCTGCTGGGAACGGAAGCGTGATAGCCAAGCGCAGGTGATGTAACTGCGCGTCGTGATGGAGACGGTGTTTAGAAACGGCCAACCGCTCTGCCCCGCGCCAAGGGTCTTCCCTTTTCCTCTCCTTCCTCCCCAGGACTTTTCAGCATCATTCCATTGTGGGCAGTGGCCGTGGTACTGTTGCTGGTCATCGCAGCCCTGGTGGCTGCCTGCTACTGGTGGTGGAAGCAAAAGAAGAACACCCCAGGAGGTATGTCCCCGGGGCTGGTGTGGTGGCTTGTGGGACGGGCAGCTGTGGGGTTTTTGGCTGTGCAAGCCTGCCCTCCTCTTGACCACTGCTAATACTCCTAATGCTCTCATAGAATCATAGAATCATAGAATTGTCTAGATTGGAAGAGTCCCTTGGGATCACCGAGTCCAACCATCTACCCTACTCTACAAAGTTCTCCCCTACACCATATCCCCCAACACCACATCTAAATGGCTCTTAAACACATCCAGGGATGGTGACTCAACCCCCTCCCTGGGCAGCCTATTCCAGTGCCCGACCACTGTCTGTGAAAAATTCTTTCCTAATGTTCAGTCTAAATCTACCCTGTTGGAGCTTGAAGCCATTCCCTCTTATTCTGTCATTAATTACCCGTGAGAAGAGACCAGCACCATCCTCTCTACAGTCTCCTCTCTGCTCTCCCTGCTGGCCATGGGCTTCTCCCTCCTCCTGGGGCTGATGCAGGACAAGCCACCGGGCACTGTCACCCCCCTGCCAGATGCTGCACAGGGCGCAAAGTTTTTGCCCATCCCCACTGATGTGGGGTGGTCCATGTGGATGAGCTAGACGAAGCATCCCAGCAGCCCAAGCAGGGGTGCCCAAACCTGGAGGACTCGTCCCATGGGGTCTAGAGGGCTGTTTGTGTTTGGATATCAATTTTATTCGGAGCTGGAGCATCTCTCCCCAGCCCCTGCCAGGTGCCAACGAAGCCAAACCTCCCGGTTACCAGTGGACCTCTTTCTCTCTCTGCTTTGCTTTGTTTGAGGGCTGAACCCCCCCGGTCTGGGGGCTCTCACACATCAACTGTCTTACACTGACCCCTCAAACTCCCCCAGCAGGTGTCGAGCAGATGCTGACCATCTACGAGGAGGTGGGCAAAGCCCAAACTGGCCAAGACCCTGTGAGTGCTGGGGTTGTCCCTGGTTGTGTCCCCTCCCTGTGCTGCCTGGAGGGATGGGACATCTGGAAATGTCTGGGTTGCGTCCTTTGACCAGCCTGGGGTTGTTTTCAGACCCAGAATGGGACCAGTGAGGCCACTGTGGGAGGAAACACCATCTACACCATCATCACCAAAACGCAGGTAAGCTCAGTCCTGTGCTGGTGGTGGGGGGGAATGGAGCTGCCCCATGGGCTTTGCTGTGCAGCCCCCGGGCTGGATGCATCCAGGGCAGCTTCCAAGACCACACCTTGGTTTTTGGGTTTTTTTGTGCACCTCAACTTTTTGCCCTGGCAGGGACCCAGCTGCCCTCAGGAGCCTGAAAGCTGCACCATCTACTCCACGATCCAGCCCAGCAGGAAGGTGAGGTCGTCCTGCCGTGGTGCCACAGCGGCACAGAGACCTGTGTCCCCTCAGTTGGTCAACCGGGTGCCGGGTTCACCCTCCCAGCTCGTGCATTGCCTAACGGCAGGTTCTTGCTCTGCTCCACAGGCGTCTTCTCTCAAGAAGAAGAGGCTGGACCCAGCTTTGGTTTCCACCGCCTACGTAGAGGTAACAAGCACTGGACCAGTGAGGAGATGATCCCTGATTATCTCCAAAGCTCGTCAGCTTTTTGGGGCCACGGTGTGCTAAACCTCACCTATCTCCTTGCAGGCTACAGGGGGTTCTAGACGCTGGTGCCCCCCGTCACAGAACTCGCCACCGGCTCCTGCTGGCCACCACCTCTCCTAGTGCCCTGGCTGCCTCAGCAAGACCTTCCCTACCCTACGGGCCTGTCCTGGTTTGGGCTGGGATGGAGTTAATTTTCTTTCTAGTGGGCTGCTGCGTTTCAGAATTGGTGCGAAAGGGATGTCGATAATGCATATTGTCGTAGTTGTTGCAGGGTGATGTTTACATTAGTCAAGGACTTTTTTTCAGCGTCCCACAGAAGCTGGGAAGGAGCGCAGACAGAAAAAGTTGGCCAAGGGAATGTTCCATACCATAGACATCATGGTCACTGTAGACATGAGGGTTGGACAGGGATCCATGAGCACTGCTTGGGACAGGCTGGGCAGCCAGTCTCTGGGTGAGGAGAGCAACTTGTGTTGTATTACTTTGTTTTGTATATTCTTTTACCATTATAATTATTATTATTGTTATTTCCCTTTCCTGTTGTTGTTCTATTAAACTGTCTTTATCTGAACCCGTGAGATTGGTGGGGTTTTTTTTTCCTTTCTCCTCCTTTTCTCCCTACCCTTCTGGGGCGGAGGGGAGAAGTGAGTGAGCGGCTGCGTGGTCCCAGTTGCTGGCTGGGGTTAAACCACGACTCTCAAGGTTCTCCTGGAGCACCCAGAGACCTCCAGCACCCACCAGACCCCCCACCCAGCAAAGCCAGGGACTCGCTCAGGATGGAAACGGTCAGACATGGGTTTTTGCAAGGATGCAAAGCCTGGCTGCGCCTTGGAAGCTTCCCTGCGAGGGAAGGAGGAGAGACTCGGTGACGGAAACCTGTCTTCGGAGGAGACGGATGTGAAATTGGACAGGCGGGATCGTGGGGGGAGAGGATCTGTGTGTGGGGTGTGTGTTTTGGTGTCAACGTGTGATCTTGTGGGTGGTTTTTTTTCGGTCTTAGCAGGCTTGATACACCTTGGGAATTTATTTTTAGGTGCGAATATAAGCTGAACTGCATGAGGCAGTTGTGGTGCTTGTTTAATTAGCTTAATTGGCTATATATATACCTTGGGCACAGGGAGGGAGCGGGAATTGCCTCATTTGTGGCATGTCTGAAGCGAACGGCGTCTCAAGTGGAGATGCACTTCGCAAAATTTTGGTGGCGTGTGTTGGGCTGGGGGAGAGGTGTCTGTGGGCATCGCCTTCAGGCAGGACAGTCCCTGCCCCGACTGCCCCACGGCGAGCTGAGACCGGGGACGCCACCAAGTCCCTTCCCACCAAGTTATCCCACGTGCCTACAGTATGAGTGGCCCTGGGAGAAGGAGGTGGAGAAAAAGGGGCTCCGGCTTCAAAGATCTTCCCAAAAGAAAGATCAAGGTTCTTTTTTTTCTTTTCTTTTTTTTTTTTTTTTTTTTTTTTTTTTTTTTTTTGAGACTAAAATGAAAAGTGGCACTTTGATGGCAGTGTGGGGAGTGTCGGCGGCTCTGCAACCCTCCCCTCCTGCCCGAGTCCCCGGATCAAAATAGCTTTGTGGCTGCTCCTGGTGAAAGGAGCATTAATTGGGATCATTAAGCGGGAGCTGCACTGGGAGGCTGGCACAGGGAGGGAGAGGGTGTCTGGCTGCCACCACGAAGGAATTTAGGGGGCTGGGCTGATGCTGATGGAGGCTCAGGTACAACATGCCGGTTCTGCCGCCGGAGCCGGGCTGGATTACGCCGTCCTGAGCTTTATCCTCTGCTTTTCCTGATGTGCAGGTGTGAGCAGAATGTTTCTTGCGCTCCCACTCTGCGCGGGGCAGTCGACATTGATCACAGAATAGAGTCGTAGAATCATTGCGGTTGGAAGAGACCTTTAACATTGAGTTCAACCATTAACCCAGCACTGCCATGTTACCGCTAAACCATAGAATCATCATAGAATCATAGAATGGTTTAGGTTGGAAAGGACCTTGGAGATCATCGAGTTCCAACCCCCCTGCCATGGGAAGGGACACCTCCCACTAGACCAGGTTGCCCAGGGCATGTCCCATGTCCCTCAGCAGCATATCTACACAACTTTTAAATCCCTCCAGAGATGGGGACTCAACCATGTCCTTGGGCAGCCTGTTCCAATGTTTGATAACCCTTTCGGTGAAGAAATTTGTCCTAATCTCCATCCTAAACCTCCCCTGGCACAACTTGAGGCCATTTCCCCTTGTCCTACCTCCTGTTCCTTGGGAGAAGAGCTGGAGGACCCCCCTCCCCCTCGCTACACTCTCCTTTCAGGTGATGATGGAGAGGCGGCAGCCTGTTGGCGGGCAGTCCCTGCTGGGCTGCGGCCACTACCTGGGAGTGGGGCTAAAGCAGGAACCACATCTCAGCCCCTCTGCAGCCCGAAACGCCGGGTCCCCGCGTTCCTGATGAACAGAAACATCTGAAGACGACAGCGCGGAGCCTGGAGGCTGCTGCATCCATCAGCACGTCAGCTCCTGCCAGAGCCCCGCTCCATCACGGCGCTGTAATTTATGCTAATGACCTGCTTTTGCATATCAGAGATAATTTGCAGCGCTGGCTGCAAATGCTGAGGCAGCACTTTGCTCCCTGCCAGGGAAGTTTGCTTTCCCATCTCCGCCAGATTCTATCAACGCGGTGGAATTGGGCACGGGGAGAAGCCGGTGGGTTCTCGGCACCGCGGTGCCACCGGATCGGTGCCAGCGATCCGGCCACAGCGTCATCGCGTGGCTGCGGGTGTGCTCGGACCATTGTCTCCCCACGTGGACATGGGATCTCCTCCCCGATGGATGGGGATCGCTCGGGGCTGAAATTAAACTGGGTCAGTGCTCAGCGGGTGCCGCCGTCGCCCTTTGTTCAGGGCCGGGGTCGGCCCCGGCGCTCCTTGCTCACAGCCAGGGCGGCGCGTGGGAAGACGCCGGCAGCCGTTTACCCCCAACATGGGGGCTGCGCCGGCTTCGCTCCCCTGTGCATCCCGAACAAAGGTCCTGAAATGTCGTCTTTCAGGAAGGAATCCAGACTGTAATTAAAATCCTGCATTTTAAGCATCTGCCCCGGTTGAAGGCCGGAGCGGTTGGGACCACGGCACGTGCTCTAGCATCAGCAAGTCACCCTGAGCATCTTCCTCCTGCGAAGCGGGGTCACGGGGACACCCCGAAAGCCGGTGCCAGTGGTCTCCACTCGAGTTGAGGCTGTGGATGGGGATGGATGGGGATGCTCAGGGACTGGAGCATCTCTCTGCCGGGGACAGGCGGGG